CAGCACTTTCTAAGCTTTCTATCATAGTAATTAGTTATTCAGTTGAATTCTCTCTTTTTCAGATTTCTCTCCCGGAGCTCCTATCTTTCCATTCCAATCTAGCCTAGAGCTCTTGGGACTTCCCTGAATTAGATCTTCCCTGTTCTCCTGAATTAGATCTGATATTGTCAACTACCCTATTTTTTAACTCATTTTGCTTGAGCAAATCTTCAAGTAACTCTATTTAAAAAATGGTATTTGAGGGGTGCCTGTGTAGCTCAGTCAAACATCTGCTTTTGGCTCAGATCATGATCTCAGGGTACTGGGATTGAGCCCCCCACCCCCCATCGGCTGCCAGGCTCTTGCTCAGTGGGGAGGCTGCTTCTCCCTCTCCCTCTGCTGCTCCCCCTTCTTGTGCTCTCTCTCTCTGTCCCTCTCTGTCAAATAAATAAATAAAATCTTAAAAAAAAATAAAAAAGCGTATGTGGGAGGGGCGCCTGGGTGGCTCAGTCGGTTAAGCGTCTGCCTTTGGCTCAGGTCATGATCCCCGGGTCCTGGTATTGAGCCCCGCATCGGGCTCCCTGCTCCATGTGAAGCCTGCTTCTCCCTCTCCCACTCCCCCTGCTTGATCTAAAATCCTTTTTGAATCCCTGCAGATCTAAAAATGTTTTAATTCTGCCTTTTTTAAGGTTTTATTTATTTATTTGAGAGAGAGTGAAAGAGAGTGAGAAACAGTATGAGAGGGGAGAGGGTCAGAGGGGGAAGCAGGATCCCCGCTGAGCCGGAAGCCCATTGTGGGACTTGATCTCAGAACTCCAGGATCATGACCTGAGCTGAAAGCAATCGCTTAACCAACTGAGCCACCCAGGTGCCCCCGTTCTGATCTTTTACTTAATGATATTTCAGCTAGGAGTGGAACTTTTCTGAAAAGTAATTTTTTTCTTAGGTTTTGAGGTTCAAGAAATATTTCCCTCAGAAACTTGGAATTCTTTGTTATCTTGTTATATTTAGAGTTGCTGGTAAAAATTCCAATGTCAGCTTGATTCTTGGGTCACTTATTTTCTTTTCTTTGGGAAATTTAAGATCTCTGTTTTTGCAGTTCTAACATTTTACAAGGTTGTTTTTTCTACGTTTTTCTCTGTGCTAGTAGACACTTCAAGCTCTGGGAAATTTTCTTCCATTATTTTTGAGTAATTTTCCATTCTTTACCTTTTTTTCTCTTTCTCTTGTAATATTAGTTCTCTTGGATTTATTCTTTCTCTTATATTTTCTCTCGCAATTTCCACCTCTGAGTATGTCTTCTTTTTTTAAAGTTTATTTATTTATTTATGTAATCTCTACACCCAACATGGGGCTCAAACTCATGACTGGGAGATCAAGAGTCATGTGCTCTTCTCACTGAGCTAGCTAGGTGCCCCATATTTCTTCTACTTGTAAATTTCATTCACTTTATCTTTTAAAACTTCTAGTGAATTTATAATTTTGGCAATTTTTTTTAAAGATTTTATTTATGTCTTTGAGAGAGAAAGAGTGTGCACAACCTGGAGGTGGGGAGAGACAGAGGGAGAAACAATGCGGGGCTCCATTCCAGGACCCTGGGATCTTGACCTGAGCCACAGGCAGACGCTTAACCGACTGAACCACCCAGGCGCCCCTAATTTTGGCAATTTCTTATGATTTCAAGACTTACTTTTTATTCTTGGATTGTTACTTCATCTGAGTATACTGAGTATATTATTCTTATTTCATAGGTGTACTAAAAGTCCATGAGCATACTAACTCTTATTTTTTAAGTTCTCTGAAGTTTCTTTATTTCCTCTATGGTCACATTTTGTTTATCTTTCTCCCCTCCCCCTAAATTGGAGACTTCTTTTAAAAATCTATTAATCTAATCCTTGGTTGTCTGTTCATGTTTAAGATGAAGTAATTGGAATGCTGATTAGGAATCTTGTGAACTTGGGAGGGTCTTGCCAACTTGCACTTCACTCAAGGAAGGGTGAGTGGGTAGAAAACCAGCTATTGTGCCAGAATAAAGACTGCTTCACTCTTAGTCATTAAATGCTCAAATGGGGGCTCCTGGGTGGCTCAGTTGGTCAAGCATCTGCCTTTGGCTCACGTCATGATCCCAGGGTCCTGGGATGGAGTCCCGCATCGGGCTCCCTGCTCTGCGGGGAGCCAGCTTCTCCCTCTGCCTGCAGTTCCCCTTGCTTGTGTTCCCTCTCTGTCAAATAAATAAATAAAATCTTTAAAAAAAAAATAAGTGCTCAAATAGCTGCCCAACTCCTCCCCAGAGATTATGAGAACTCTTGATTTTTAGCCTGGGATAAATGCCTACTGACTGTATCCGAGATAAGGAAGGGTTCTTCTGTTCTATATGGAGATCTTTATTTCACCTTCCTATTGGCTGCAGCCTCCTTCTGCACCTACTCCACATTATGGTTTCTTTCATTTTGTTTAGTCAGGCTGCACTCACTTTGTGTGTAAATTAAAAAAATATATATGTTTTGGTGGTCTCCTTCCCATTTTCTATTACATATGGGTTTTGTATCATTTTTAAAATTCCTTTATTAGCATTTTAATTGGGGTCTCAGGAAGAAGAGGTAATGAATGCATGTGCTTAGCCAGCTTTTTAAAAATTTATTTTTAATTTATTTTTATTATTTTTTAAAGATTTTATTTATTTGAGAGAGAGAGAGAGAGCACGCACAAGAGCCGGGGGAGGGAGAAGCAGACTTCCTGCTGAGCAGGGAGGCTGATACGGGCTCGATCCCAGGACTGTGGGATCATGATCTGAGCTGAAGGCAGATGCTTAACCTACTGAACCACCCAGGTGCCCCCCAGCTTTTTTTTTTTTTTTGTAATTGAAATATGGTTGACAACCCATGTTACATTATTTTAAAATTATGGAATGCTTCATTAATTGGTGTGTCAGCCTTGCACAGGAGCTATGCTGATCTTCTATCATTCCAATTTTAGTATATGTGCTTAGTATATGTGCTGCCCAAGGGTGCACTCAACCGGCTTTAATAAAAAAATACTAAATGTAAGTTAAAAAAACAAACAAAAACATCTGGGGCAGAGTAGGAAATAAGAAAAAACGACCAGTGGAAGGGCAAAAAACCAAAAAACAACCCTCCCCCCAAACACACACAAAAAACCAAACTATCACAATTCTCAGTCTGTGATATTGATAGTACCCTCTGTATGTATAACTTACTGCTTAACATAGTAACTCTCCAGATCCACACATTTTAGCGACATAGCGGATCTCAGACATGGAGTTCACACCCCATTTTACAGTTAAGAAAAGTAAAACCCAGAAATAAAGTGATTTCCCCAAGGTCATTCAAGTAGAGAGTAGCAGAATGGAAACTAGGATATGACTCCCACTTTTTTTTTTTTTTTTTTTTTTTACCTCCCCACACTGCTGGGGAGTAACAGGATGAGCAGATCAGCAGTTAGATGAAAAAGATCTTGAAAAACAGTCGAAGAAGGATGGCTTTTTTTGGGGTAAAAAGCCAGATGTCTAAAAAAATGAAGTATTTTAGGATGCTTATTTGGCAGCTATACTATCTTCTTTGGCAGCACAGTCTAACAATTGGTAGGCATATGTTGAATGTACTGAAGGGGGCGACTGTACAGCAGGACCGGGAACTGCAATAATCCAAGTGCGTGGTGATCTGGGAAGTAACAGAGTCTGGGCAGGATGTGACAGTAGAATTTGGTGAATGAATGAATGAATGTGAATACTGAGGAGAGATGGGAAAATGTTAGTGGGATTATGAAGGAGTGTAAGTTGGTTAATTGTAGTGGAGAATAAGTAGGGGTAAAATGATGACTCGACCCCTTTTAAGGGCATTTTAAATGATTCGATTCAACCTAAAACACTGGGGCAAATATTCATATCACTCCTACTTTCTTGGTTAGGGATAGTTTACCTACATTTGTAAATTAATGGATGCAGCTGCCCTCTTTGCATGACTCCGACGAAAGAAAAACCGACTGCAACTCAGTACAAGAAAATTGGATTTCCTGAAATAAGGTACCATTTGCCTAACATGTTCTGAGGACCAAATACGACAGCGTAGCACCGCATCCGGCACATCGCGGGAGCTGACTGTGCACCTTAAATTCCGCCCACGCTCTCCTCTCCCGCCGAGCTCCTACAGAAAATCCACGTACACTGGCGTGGGTCTTCTGCGACGCTTAAGTTCTTTCCCTAAGGTCGAGTGGACAGCCCCGCGGCCACATTCGCAAAAGCTAAGGGTGGGGGAAAAATCCAATTTCCCTCGGACAAAGGGTTCCCACTGCGGCCTTGGAAGCGCAGCCCGGGATGTATGCCGATTCTAGACCTACTCTAGACAGCGGTGGCGGTGCTGGGGCTTGTGTAACGGGTCCCGCCAAAGAGGGGGTGGGGCTACTCTAAGGTTTGGGAAAGCGACAATTCCGCTCTTCGGGCCTGGCCGGTCCACTTCCTACGGCAAGCAGAAGGAGACAAACGCCGCCTTGCCTTGCTCCCACCTACCGCCTCTTCCCGGAGCGGACTCCGGCTCTCCCTTCCCGTGGCCGCAGGGGCCGCGCGTGGGCGTTGTGGACACCCCGCGCCCGTTGCTCTGCTTGGGCGCGCAATCGCTGCGGGAACCTTGAGTCACCCCACTCCCAGTCCCTGACCCGCCTTCCTCTGGAAGGCGCCGGAGGCCTGCGGGCTGCCAAGTCGCATTCTCAGGAGGGTGCGGGAAGGCTAGGTGGCCTGGCCGGGAGTAGGCGGAGCTCGCGGTGTCTCGCGGCCCCGGCGGGGGTGGGGCTAGGTGTCTCGCGCAGGGGGCGGGGCGCGGTGACGTCGGCGGGCGTTAGGGCAGTACTGTGGCTGTGGTGGTGGCGGCGGCGGCGGTGGCGGCGGTAGTGGCGGCGGCGGCGGTGGCGGCGTCCGGGCGGCAGCAGCAGCAACAGCAACAGCAGCAGCCCTGAGGAGGGTGAGACGGCCGCCGTGGCGGCAGCTCGGAAGTCGGGCGGGACCGAGAGCTTCCCGCCTGCCGCTGGCGCTGAGGCTTTTTTTGCCTTTTCTTAGCTTGCTTCTTCCTCACGGCCCTGGCTAGGGCTGGGCAGCGCGCCCCCGGGGAGGGGCGGAGCTGTAGGTGAGGCTTCAGGACCCCCCTCCCCCTCCTCTCCCCACCGGGGGGATGGGAAAGTCCGGGGAGGGGCGGACCCCACCCCACCCCACCCCACCCCACCCCAGCCCCCCGCGGGCTCCACCCCACCGAGCTCCAGGATTGGGCGGGAGCTGAGGCGGTAGATGTGGGGAGCCCGAGATGGGAGATGGGAGATAGGGGTTCTGGGCGCTTGGTGAGCGGAGGGTTTGAGGCGTGATGTTGCGGGCGAGGTAGTGGCGAGATGGAGAAATTGGGGAGCTATGAGGAGGTTGGGGTGCGGTCAGGGTGGATCTGTGTGTTTAGGCGACCGATGTAAAATGTTGAAAGATGATTTTTTTTTTCTTCTGTGAAATGGTAAGATAGATGAAGGGTGTATTTCAAAAGGAAGATGAGCTGTGGATGTTGCCTTTGAGGCAGTTGGAGAAGCTGTTGCACTAGGTCTCACATTTCTACTTCGGGGTTTGGTTATTATTTTTCCTCCTCGCGGGGTGAGTCGGGAGGGAAGAAAATCCCTCTGCTTTTGGCGCAGGTGGGTACATTGTGAGGGTGGCTGGGTTTAAAGTTTTACACCCTTCAGGAAGAGTGAGATCTTCGATTAAGACAACTTCATTTTGGCAGTAGCATAAGGGAATAGGTCCCATTACATCTAGTTCCCTAAAGGTGTTATCTTCCAGTCTTTTTTGTGTGCCTAAAAGATCTCTTTATACCATCTGACTTATAATCTTTATTCTGTTGTCAGAAGGCCTGAAAATCAGGTAGTTGCTTCGGAAGACACGTTTCTGAGTAATAGTTGCAGGTGGTTGTGGTTGACTGCTTTGGATGGATAATTTGAACAGTTCTCTTGGAGCTAATTATATGAAAAATGCTTAAATGTTTTAAAGCACAGCTGTCTTTTACAGCTCGTTTTTCAACAGACCTTGACATTTAGACATTTTGTGTTCAACACAGTTATTGGGGATTATTTTTATTTCTCAATTGCAGATGTTATTAGACACTAAAAATGGAGTGGAATAATGTTTTTTTCGGTAGGTCCCTCAATTTCTGAGAAATGTTCTTGGAGTCAAGTGCTTTTAAAATGCTCTTTAATAACATTTTGGAGGCATGTATCTCACTTCATAGGGAGATAATGTTACTAAGAGTAAACAGTGTTCAGTGTTCTTCACATCAGTGTTTCACAACTTTATACATTAAATCAATCTCTTCTCGATTCCTGCTCCCTATTAGATTACTGTCAGTATTCACTGACCTTACCTATCAGTGTCATTTAAGCTGTTTCTTGCTCAGAAAACAGGTCCTGTGATGGACATGTATTATGTAATGGATGGAAGTAGGCATGACTCTCAATAATTCATTTGTGGAGGAAGAGAAACCGTCATGAAATGGAATTTAAGCAGTGACTTTCCCAAGGCTTACTCAATTTATTTGGGAACATAGCCAGAGAAATGCTTTCCTGTAACCCAAGAGAGAAATATACAGATGTGAGTGTCAGTAGTTGCAGATCATTGCCTTTTCTAACATGCCTAATTAATGAGCAGACTATTATCTTCTAGAAAATACTTTCAGGCAACAGATGATACAATAGCTATAGAGAAAGGGTGTGTCCAATTTGTAATTCTAAAAGATTCAATTAAATGTATTCAAATAGATCAAATTAGTAGTTGGTAAATGAATACTTTTGATTTGGATTAGTTACTTAGAAGGAAAAATTAAAATCATATATCTAGTTTTGGCTTTTAAATTATACATTGATTTAATTGGGTATGAATGAGTACAAATGTGAACTAAGATATCAGGTGAAACTTTTTATGTATATTGCTAAAATTACATTTGCATGGCTGACAGTGGCATTCTTTGTGGGAATGAAATCGTGGGATTGGGGGGAAAGTATAAGGTAGAAGTGGTCTGTTTCTCTTTAGAATTTCTTTTTTTTTTTTTTAAGATTTTATTTATTTATTTGAGAGAGAGAGAATGAGAGAGAGAGAGCACGAGAGGGAAGAGGGTCAGAAGGAGAAGCAGACTCTCTGCTGAGCAGGGAGCCCGATACGGGACTCGATCCCGGGACTCCAGGATCATGACCTGAGCCGAAGGCAGTCGCTTAACCAACTGAGCCATCCAGGCGCCCTCTCTTTAGAATTTCTTATGCCTAGAAAAAAATACTACATTTTATTTTTCAAGAAATGTCACTTGCTAGTCATTACTGTGTTGTTCTTGTTGAATTTACTGAGCTCTCTCCTCCCACCCCCACCCATTACTAAAGTCAGGTATGTCAGTCTGTTAATTGAACATTAGTACTGGAAGCAAGATAAAAGTGAAGATTCTTATAGCAACAACTGCTCTTCTGCTCTAAGTTTATGCTTTTGAAGTAGTAGAAGAGCTGTTAAATGTGCATTTGATACATACCATATCAAAACATCAATGGAAGAACACCAGGGAATGTAGTATTTTGGTTAACTAAATAATTAGTACATTCATTATCAATTTTCAGATAAATATAATGTAATGAAGTAAACAGCATACAAGTTATATAAAATATTTATTTTTATAGCTCTTCAGCATCTGAGCCTTGGGGGCACTGAATCATTCAATGGTTATTTTTTTTATTAACATTCTTAGTTTATTGATCCTCTCATGAAAAATCTGCACAACCACCACAGATAAAGCCACTGCAGCATCTTTACTCCTTCTGTTGTCCAATCTCCAGCTCACTTCCTTTTGCCAGCACCAACGTTGGCTTTTGCAGTCCCCCTGACTTTCTTCATTCTGTTCTTGCATTCCTTTCGCTGTTTTCTTGATGTCTTTTTCTTCTCATACAGGCCATGTCTTGCAAGTCTGTGTTTGAGTTCATTTTTCTTTGCGTAATCCAAGGAATCATAAATCATGCCAAAGCCGGTTGTCTTGCCACCACCAAAATGGGTTCTGAATCCAAACACAAATATGACATCTGGTGTGGTCTTGTACATTTTGGCTAGTTTTTCCCGAATTTCTGTCTTAGGTACCGTTGCCTTTCCAGGGTGAAGAACATCAATGACCATCTGTTTCCGCTGAAGTAGTCGGTTAGTCATGAACATCCTGGTCCGGATAGTTACTGTGTCGTTCATGATGGCGGCGAGGCTTCAAGCAGCCGGGGAGGAAAAGAGCTATTCAATGGTTATTTATTGAGTGTGGTTCTGGGTATTTTTTTAGCGATTGGGGATACAGTAGTGAACAAAACTGACAAAAATCCCTGCCTTCATGGAACTTACCTTCCAGATACCTTTTGGGGAGATGAAGAGAAACGTGGCAAAGGAAATTAATAAAAGGTCATTGGGTTAGGAAAACCAGGAGAGTGTGATGTACTAGCAGTGAAGGAAAGGAAGTTTGAGGAGGAGGGAATGATCAAGTGTGTCATTGTTTAAAGATGTGTCAGAGTGTTGGGTAAGGGATAATTTGCACGATTATAATGTCTAATAAGAGAAATATGAGTAAATGCTTTTTAGTGTGGGATGAAATAGATACAAGAATTTGTCAGTTTTTTACTTCCCTGGATTGATTTTTTAAAAACATATATTTCAGTGGCGCCTGGGTGGCTCAGTTGGTTAAGCGACTGCCTTCGGCTCAGGTCATGATCCCAGGGTCCTGGGATCGAGCCCCGCATCGGGCTCCCTGCTTTGCGGGAAGCCTGCTTCTCCCTCTCCCACTCCCTCTGCTTGTGTTCCCTCTCTCGCTGTCTCTCTCTCTCTGTCAAATAAATAAAATTGAACAAACAAAAACATATTTCAGTTTTTATCCTTTTCAGAACAAAATAGGCAATCTGTGAGTGTATACTATATTAAGGACAGATCATGACATTTTTCTTATTTTGTTATTTTTTAATATACTAATAACTATTATACTCATTTAAAAAATAGGTAATACACATACCAAATCAGAAGGTATGCAAGAGTACATAGGGAAAAGTAAGTCTCCTGTCCCATCATGTTCCTGAAGGCAGTCACTGTTTTCAGGTTCTTGTTTTTCCTAACCAGTAAAATTTTGTGCAATAATATGGTTTAGTTATTTTAAAATTGCATAAATATAACCTATTTTATCTTCTAGGTTTTTTTTTTTTTTTTTTGCAGGCTTAGTATTTGTTTTCATAAATTAAGTCTAGCTCCCTGCAGGCCTTTTGTTTTTATTTTATAACAGCTTTATCAAGAGATAATTCATATACCAGACAATTCACTCACTTAAAGTGTATAATTCAATTTTTTTGGTGTGTGTATCACCACAATCAATTTTAGAACATTTTCTTCACCCTCAAGAGAAGCCCTGTATCCGTTAGCAGTTACTTTTCTGACCTTTAGTTTTTAAGTTAGGTATTCTTTTGTATATTATGTGGGAAAAAATGTTGTGAAATACTTGCTTACCAACTAAATGACAATTAAACCGTTTAGTGTAAAAGCATAGATTTGTGTAAAAGTCAACTTAGATAACATTTTATTTGGTTGAGTACATGCTTGTGAAATGATTTGATTACTTAAGTATCTTTTCATTATTCCTACATTTATCATATATTTATTGAGTACCTTTTGTGTTCTAAGGCCTTGGCTAGGCCAGGTGGAATCCAGGATGAATAATGGACAGGGTCCCTTATTCTTAAGGAGTTTAATTCTAGTGAGAGAAGAGGAAAAATTAATAGGGGTTTGTGGGCGGCTGTGCTTCAGCTCATAGGATGGATTCCTAAACTGGACTGTTGGAAAATCTGAGATGAGATCTTAAGGATAAGTAGGATTTGGCTAAATGAAAAGGATGCAAGTAGAGGGAACAGGGTTTGCAGAGCCCAAAGGCTAGAAAGCTGTAGGGCAAATTGAGTGATCTGAAAATAGTTTGGTCTGCTGGAATGTTGAGTGCTAGTGTGAGCTGTTGGTATCACCCCTTCTTTATGTTAAATAGTGTGTTGTCTTAAAAAGGCAAAATCATGGGGCGCCTGGGTGGCTCAATCCTTAAGCGTCTGCCTTTGGCTCAGGTCATGATCCCAGGGTCCTGGGATTGAGCCTCACGTCGGGCTCCTTGCTCAGCTGGGGGCCTGCTTCTCCTTCTCCCACTCCCCACTGCTGGTGTTCTCTCTCTCACTGTCTCTCTCACTGTCAAATTAATAAAATCTTAAAAAAAAAAAAAGAAGGCAAAATCATTACATTTTTAATTTGCTTAAACTCTATGGATTGCTGTCACTTTGTAGCTGTATAACTTTGGGTGAATTACTTTACTGTCTAAAACTCATCCATAATGTTAATTTTCTCATCCATAAAATGGGAAAAATAGTCCTACTTCATATGATTGTTGTGAAGAATAAATGAAATGAAACTCATAAAGCTTTTAATAAAGTGCTTGGAATATAGTAAGTACTCAATAAAAATCAACACCCTGATGGTGATGATACAGTGTGGTGATGGTGGTAATGATACCTGATTTGTGGAATTCCTTTAGGATATTGTGGAACCCCAGGGAGTTCTCAGGAGACTGGAAAATGATACCTGTCTTTTTAACATTTTTTCTGGGAGGAATGAAGTGAATACTAAGAACTTTAGGCCGGCACTGTCCAATAGAACTTTCTGTGATGATAGAAGTGTTTTATATACCATTTGATACAGTAGCTACTAGTCTCATGTGCTTACTGAACACTTCAAATGTGGCTAGTATAATTGTTGAGAAATAATTAAAATTGTTAATTTTGTTAAAATTAATTTAAATTGCCACTGTAACTAGTGATTAGTGTATTGGGCAGCACGGCAATATGTTTATAGATTGATGAATCTGATACTAAACTGGCAGTATTTTAGCATACATTATTTAAAAGGTAGTTTTAGAGGGCGCCTGGGGGGCTCAGTTGGTTAAGCATCCAACTCATGATTTCAACTCAGGTCATTATCTTGGGGTCATGGGATGGAGCCCTGCATTGGGCTCTGAGCTCAGCTGAGTCACTTGAGATCCCCCACCCCTCTGCACTCTCTCTCAAATAAATAAAATCTTAAAAAAAAATAAAAGGTAGTTTTAGAAGCCTTGTTAAGGGATACAGTGATCACTGGGATATAGCGTGGATTCATGAGGTCACTTCAGATAATAATTTCAGTTTCCTAGAGTTGACATGGTTTCTAAGCTGATAAGGAAATGTAGTAGTTGTAATGTATCTAGACTTAACCTGGATCTTTTCATGCTGTCTTTGTGGAAAATATGAGATATTTTATGAGAACAGGGACTGTCATTTGTTCTCTACTGAGCAAATAGTAGATACTTGCTAAATATTTGATGAATGAATGGATGGTAAGACAATTAAGTGAATTCCCAACTGGCTGTGAATGGATATACCCAGAGAATAGAGTTGCTTACTGAGGATGATGGGTTTGAGGAACTAGTATTAGATGACTCATCCATGTATGTATTGAAATAACCCAGGAGCGGTGGTATAAAAGACAGTGGCAGTGTGAACTAGTTGCCAGCATCTCCTCACTGAGTGTGGAGGATGTCCAGGTGGTCATTAGCTGATAGTGAAAAGGCAGAGGTAGAAGACTGTGTTGCTGAAAAGCATGGGAATCAGAGTAACAAAGATTTTACATGGGGGTTCAGGATTTTACATGGTCTGGAGGTGGCATGGGAAGAAAGAAGGGTACCAGTCTCAATTCCCAACATTGGGTGTGGAGTGTGAGAGACTTAATAGCCTCCACTTGAAAGGGCTGCTTGGGAAGAGGGTCATGGGAAAATCAGTTTTCAGTTAAGGCAGAGAGGCAGTGAAAGCTTTCAGAAGAGTTTCTTCATAATGGAACAAAGTTCCTTGAGAGTATTTTTCCACCCTGCTGGCTTATCATCACTTAAACTTTACTTATTTATTATTTATTTATTCATTTATTTGTTTTTATTTATTTTTTATTTTTATTTTTTTAAAGATTTTATTTATTTATTTGACAGAGAGAGCAGGAACACAAGCAGCAGGAGTGGGAGAGGGAGAGCAGGCCTCCCGCTGAGGAGGGAGCCTGATGTGGGACTCAATCCCAGGACCCTGGGATCATGACCTGAGCCGAAGGCAGACGCTTAACGACTGAGCCACTCAGGCGCCATTTTTTTTTTTTTTTAAAGATTTTATTTATGTGACAGAGACACAGTGAGAGAGAGAACACAAGCAGGGGGAGTGGGAGAGGAAGAAGCAGGCTTCCTGGGAGCCTGATGTGGGGCTGGGAGCAGGGAGCCTGATGCGGGGCTCGATCCCAGAACCTGGGATCATGACCTGAGCTGAAGGCAGACGCTTAACGACTGAGCCACCCAGGAGCTCCTGTCTTTCTTTCTATCTATCTGTCTGTCTATCTATCTATCTATCTATCTATTTATTTAAAATAGGCTTTACTACTGATTGAGCTAGCCAGGCACTCCTCATCACTTAAACTTTATTTATTTATTTATTTATTTATTTATTTATTTAAAGATTTTATTTATTTATTTGAGAGAGAGAATGAGAGATAGAGAGCACGAGAGGGAAGAGGGTCAGAGGGAGAAGCAGACTCCCCGCTGAGCAGGGAGCCCGATGTGGGACTCGATCCCGGGACTCCAGGATCATGACCTGAGCCAAAGGCAGTCGCTTAACCAACTGAGCCACCCAGGCGCCCTAAACTTTATTTATTTTTAAAACGTATGTCTATAATCTCTGCACCCAACATGGGGCTTGAACTCAGGACCTGGAGATCAAGAGTCCCATGTTCTTTAGACTGAGCCAGCCAGGTGCCCATTATTTAAGCTTTAAAATGCCTCTCATCTTCACAAAAAACTCTTCTCCCAACTTCATACTTTCTCTAAGTTGCTGTCTGCTTTACAGTCACACTTTTTGAAAGACTTGTCTACATTTGTCATATGTCTCCATTTCTTTGCCTGTGATTCTCTTCTCACCCTATTGTTTCTGTCTTCACAATTTCATCTAAACTGTTTTGCTGGGTTACTAATGTATTTAAAGCCAGTGGCTACTTTTCTATCCTCTTATTTAACCTTTTAGCTCTACTAGTTGTCTATTGCTATGCAACAGATTACCCCCAACTTAACTTAAAACAACAAACATTTGTTGTTTCACGGTTTCTGTGGGTCAGGCATCTGGATGTGGTATGTCTGATTCAGGGTCACTCATAAGGCTGCAG